ATTGAAACTGCTGGCAGTGTAACAGAGGTGATTTCTGACTTACAGGTCATTTTCCAGTGACAGGAATGGCTTTAAAGACAGCAATACTGAATAATGAAGCTTCAGGACACATGAACAATTTCCATGTCTCCTCTTTCTTCTTCCTGTTAGTTTTCTCCATGCAGCTCCAGTGCTCAATCAGGCCATTATGACAGTTTATTCTCCTCCCTCTCTCTTCAGCCCTGTGGTTGCGAGTCAGTGGAAAGTGTACCTGGGGCGGCTGACACAGACGGGTCCCAACATCCACGAAGTGTCCAGGGGGCTCCAGCAAATCATCGTGCATCCAGACTATGACTCTTCAACCAACAACAATGACATCGCCCTGCTGAGACTGAGCAGCTCCGTCTCCTTCAACAACTACATCCAGCCCATTTGTCTGGCTGACAGAAGCAGCTCCTTCTTCACTGGGACCAGCTGCTGGGTCACTGGCTGGGGAGACACAGCTGAAGGTGGTGAGTGTACCTCATTGGCATTTAGTGAAGAGCTACTGTTCTGTTTAACTGTAATTGAGACTGGACTATTCCTTTAGCCTTCTGAGATATTGTAGCCCCACCTCGTGGCCCTAGATACTGGACTGAGTATCACAAATATGACAGCGACCTTCCAGCTCCTCTGTCGGGGAACCAAACCCTCCAGGGAGTCAAGCTTCCCATAACTGAGAACTGGGAATGGTAATTGGCATGACTTTTGTGCTGGCTTTTCTGATCCATGAGGGCTCACAGGATAGGTACAGTACTATCACACTGTCTTGCCTCTTAGGATCTCTGTTGGGGAACCAGACCCTGCAGGAGGTCCAGCTGCCCATCATGGGGAACAGGCAGTGTGGGTGTCTGAACGACATGGCCTTTGGCTCAGGCAGCATCACAGCCAACATGATCTGTGCTGGAGAGCTGCATGGGGGCAAAGACTCCTGCCAGGTAAATTGTTAACATATTTTCGTCAAAGCTACACCCACACTGCATTGTCTGATCAATCAGACATTGCATATCTCCTGCCTTGTTTTCAGTGTTAGTGGACAGAACTGGGCTGTCTGCCAGTTAGTGCCAATTCTAACCATTTTCTCTCTCTGCAGGGAGACTCAGGGGGTCCCCTGGTCTGCAAGCAGGGCTCTGCCTGGGTTCAGGCTGGTGTTGTGAGTTTCGGAAGGGGCTGTGCCCGTCCCAGTCTCCCAGGGGTGTACACCAGGGTGTCCCAGTACAAGGACTGGATTAACGGACAAGTGGGGTCGGGAGTCACAGGCTTTGTGACCTTCACATCCAGTGGCACAGACGCTGATAGCAGCTTTACCTGTGGTCCTGATCCTACAGTTACTACAAGAGCACCACTGACCACTACTGTCGCTCCATCAATCACTTACCCGACCCCTGCGCCAGCCCCCATAGCACCAGGAGGTTGGTTGTCATTTTAATGAAGGAGATGTGTTCAGATTCATACTATATTCCTTGGGTCACTATTCAGTTTCTTCTCCCTGTGTCCTGTTCCTCCAGAGTGTGGGAGACCGCCCCTCAGTCCCAGGATTGTAGGGGGTGACTCTGCCCCAGAGGGGTACTGGCCCTGGCAGGTCAGCATACATTACTATGGGCAACACAGGTGTGGAGGATCTCTGATCAACCACCAGTGGGTCCTGACGTCTGCCAGCTGTATCTATTGGTACTGGTCCTGGTAAGTTTTGTGAGGGACAGACTAGTCATTCTGGATCAGTACTGTCCAGGACAGTATTTGAAAAGCACAGTTCAGTACTATATTAGCACAGTTGATATACACAGATCTGCTGACATCCTTTTCCTTTCCACAGGTACTACAGTCTTGCCGAGTGGCAGGTGTATCTCGGCAGGCAGCAACAAGTGGGCTCTAACCCCTATGAAGTGTCTAGGAGGATCCAGTCGATCATTATACACCCTGGATTTTATTATTACAGTTCCAGGCAAGACAATGACATCGCCCTCGTGATGCTGGGCAGCCCTGTCAACTTCACCAGCTACATCCAGCCCATCTGTCTGGCCGACAACAGCAGCTCCTTCCACACTGGGACCAGCTGCTGGGTCGCAGGCTGGGGATACACAGCTAATAGCGGTGAGCTCATTTCTTATACGTACTGCATCCCTTTGCTAAAGCAGAACAGCCGTACCCCTTAAAAACAACTCTGGGCTATTTGCTGTATCCTCTGTAGATACAACACGAACACCCCACTCTCCTTACTCCTTTTTCCCACTTATACATCATGTGATTTTGAAGTGGCATAGTACACCTCTGGGTTCAATTCCAGGTTGGGTTGCCTTCAGGGTGGAGTCTGCGTGTCCTGCCTGTGACTGCCTCATGCAGATCAGACATGATTGGGTGGACTGAACTGTCAGGTCTGGGCTGGTGGTCAGGTATCTGCTCTCACCTGGTGGGCTATGGGTTCAGGTCCCAGGTGAAACAGTGCAGTTGTATCCTTGAGCGAGGCTCATACTCAGCCTACCTTAGTCTGTAGTTGCATACTTGGGCCCCATAGTAACATGCTTTGGATAACTTTCTCTGAGAGGCACTAAGAGTAAATTTCTAAGTCACCTTGGTAGAACATCCATAATGCTCGTCAAATCTCGGATTAACGGGAACTGTGGTATACTGCAGCTGTGGCTGGAGCTCTGCAATCAGCCATTCAGAGCTCAAAACAGATTGACAGTGTTGTGTTAGGTGTTCCTGAAATGACAGCGGCATCCAATGTCTAGCACATACTGAGACGTTTTTAGACTAATAATCATACGTCTTCACAACATAACATATGTTATATAAATACACAAAATACAGACCCTAGCTTTGAAAAGCTTTTCTGAAAAGAGGATTGCTGTACATGCTATGAATGAAGCTTGGATCAGACCAGGAGTTTCATGGAGTTTAAAACAATTAAAATGAATAATATTGCACTTTGCCATTATACTGTTGATCTAGGCGGTGTACATGAATGGTAGTAATACTGCAGTTGATGTACAGTACGGATATCTGTGGATATTCTGCGTTCCTGTGTGACATCTGAAAATGTGCTTGTTGGTGCCCAGGTATTCAGCTCATGTTCCAGATTCCTACAAACTTCTTCACTTTGTACTTCCAGTCCCATTTTAAACAGACCCTTCAAAAACTGAAAAATTATTTCAGAAAGGTAAAAGTGAATAAATATTTAGCTGAGTCCCCTCATTTTAGAACACATACTCAAAACACTGTTTACTGTAGAAAAAGGCATGTATGTACTGTATTTTGTACATGGAAAGAGCACATCGTTGTATTTTGTACATTTAAGAGCACATAGTTTTGAATAAACTGAGAAATGTATTGCCAGGTTTACCTTATTTGGTTTTTAACCAATTAAATCACTCCTGTTTAACATGAATGAAGATGTTTATGTTCCCCATGCTTACATTTTTCTACGGGAACAGATGAGATTAAATGTACTGTTTATGACAAAACAAAGATCTGAATAGTCAGGGAGCGGTATTTGCCAAGTTTTCCCCAATATGAGTGAACACAGTACATCACCACTTGAGTGTGTATAGGAACAGGTGACACTGCATTTAGATTCATCAAACTGTCAGGGGAGGACGAAAAACTTCTTGAAAAATTATCTGCCATTGGATAAGAAGTGGGAGTGAAATCAGCAAAAACAAGAAAGCATTTTGACTGTGAACTGCAGAGTGGTTGTCCAAGAAACATCATGCTCATTGTGATGCTGCTGACTTTCACTGCCTACTAACGCTCCACAAGGGCCACCCATCAGTCTTCTTTGGCAGTGCAGTTTTCTGGGCAGGGTGACACCATGGGACAGCAAAGTCATCTTGTCATGGCAACGAGTTTTGACGCCCAATCTGAGTGGCTGCATGGTGCGTTTTACGTGGCTGCATCTGTAATGTCCAGACACTGTGGGGTTAGGAGCTGCTAAGAATAAAATTACAGGTCTTAGTGTTAGGTCATCTCGGGGATATTCACACTAATGGACTTCAGCCACCATTCCCACAGCAAGTCAATCTCTCGTCCCTCAGTGTCTCTGTCGGGGAACCAGACGCTACAGGAGGTCCAGGTGCCCATCATTGGGAACAGGCAGTGTGGGTGTCTGACTACTGAAGATGCCAATAACCCCATCACCATCACTGAAAACATGATCTGTGCTGGAGAGATGGATGGGGGCAAGGATACCTGCTGGGTACAGACACAACTTTACAAATACTTTTCGGTTTTATACTTTCTCTATCTTTTCTTTAAAAAAAAACCTTATTGTGTATTATTCACCTTTTTTTCTATATTAACCCCTCTCTCTCAGTGCAGTGTTAATGTACTGGAGTGTCCACTCAGTGTGTCTGTATTAACCCCTCTCTCTCAGTGCAGTGTTAATGTACTGGAGTGTCCAGTCAGTGTGTCTGTATTAACCTCTCTCTCTCAGTGCAGTGTTAATGTACTGGAGTGTCCAGTCAGTGTGTCTGTATTAACCTCTCTCTCTCAGTGCAGTGTAAATATACTGGGGTGTCCAGTCAGTGTGTCTGTATTAACCCCCATGTCTGTCCATCTCTCTCTCTGTTATGTCCAGGGAGACACAGGAGGACCCCTGATCTGTAAGCAGGACTCCTCCTGGGTTCAGGCTGGTGTTGTGAGCTCTAGGCAGGGTTGTGCTCGTTCCAGTCTCCCGGATGTGTACACCAGAGTGTCCCAGTACAAGGACTGGATTAACACTCAGGTTGCGTCCGCCACTCCAGGTTTTGTGACCTTCAGCTCCAATGGCACAGACCCTGACAGCGGTTTTAACTGTAGCTCTCTTAGTGTTACTGCTGTAGCACCGAGCGGTAGGTGACACTTCCATAAAACCACTGAGAA